CCAATTACAGTAATTTGCATTATTGCGAAAATTTTCTAATTGTTTCGCATTATTGCGAAAATTTTCTAATTATTTTGTATTATTGCAAAAATTTGCTAATAATTTCACAATATTGTAAAATTTTTTCGATTATTTCGCAATATTGCGAAATTTTTTTATTTCGAAAGAATTCCATGTCAATCACAATTTTTTCAAAAGATTTTTAGTATGCAAAATCTTTTGTAATATTTCACTTATATTTTTTGCTAATGCAGTCCAAGGTTCATTTTTGAAGCCACAAGAGCGTCTTCAGAAAAAACTTTATGAGACGTGGCATTATCAAAGAGAAATATACCAACACACCTCAGGTGTGTCTGTTCAAAAATGTTAACTGCCTTTCTAACTTGCTCGAGAAGTTTTTTGGAATCCCAATAACCATCTTGATTTGCACCCAAAACCTATATATTAAAAAAAAAAATAAAACTAAAATTAAAATCAAACTAAAAAAATAAATGAATTAAAAAAAAATCAAAATTACATTATCTTTTTTTTAATTTTTTTTTTTAATTTTAATTTTAATTTTTTTTTTATTTTTAATTTTTTTTTATTTTAATTTTAATTTTTCTTTAATTTTCTAAAAATATTCTTAAAAAATAAAATTTTCTGACCATTATCACATGCGCTTCTTCTTGGTTGTCTTTAAGTGACCCAATAGTTTCTGTCAAAAAATCGCTTATGTGGATAGCAGAATCTAATCTTTTTTTTCATAATGATTGCTCTTTTTCTGGGCCTCACACAGAATGTGAACCATTATAGATATAGAAGGTAGTTTCATCATGGGTTACCCATACATGCTCCTTTTTACTACTTTCCAAATCTGAGTAGGTTCTTATCCTACATTCTGGGTCAACCCACTTAGACATAAGTCGTTCAAGCCAACAATCTCTTGAAGAAATGTTTGACGATATTTGACAACATCAGAACATTCATATCTATCGACATATACACCCTTTTTGTAACGCTGGTAACAGAATCCAAGTTTGTGCATCCATCTCTGGGCAGTACAAACTGAAATGCATTGTACAAACTTAATGTTCAACTGAAGAAGGATAGTTTGTTAAAAATAGTTCTTAACCATAATGGGATCTACGTTGAACTTCTGGGAGTGTAGATAAGTGGCCAACTCGAGGGAAACTAACTCTCATGAAGCAAGCTTTTTAAGAGGGATCTTTCTCGAAGGTCTGGTTGGATTAATTCCTTCTTCATGCAGATATTCGCATACTTTCTTATACATTTAGCAAGCCATGGCCTACCATCAATCATATCGGAAACTACTTTAGCTGCATCCATTTTTTTTTGACCTTTTAGATGCAATCTATAAAAGTAGATTACTGCTGTGTAATGTGCCTCTTCGGTTTTGAAAAGTGTTTTTTCTCTCATTACATTGTCGACGAACTTAATTGCGTTATGGATTTTTTTTGTTTCTTCATCCAATTCTTTATTCAAGTTTCCACCCAATTCTTTATTTAAGTTTTTCTCATCCTATTAATTAACATAATTACCCCTATGCCAAATACTAATTTTTCTCAATATAGCTTTTTTACCTGATATTCTTGACTTTGAAAGTCTTCAGCATCTCTTTATAATCAGTAGTCGAAAGTTGATTGTTAAAAAAATATGAACTTTTTAAACTTCCTCTTGCTGCTTCCTTAAATGCTTTATTTTTTCTTTGTCATGTTCATTTAGAATTTCCAATATACACATAAGGATGCTTTTTTTTTTGATACCTGCCACCGAAGCAGCAAAAAGTCACTCGATGATTGAATTCACTTGGTTATGATCATTTAGCTCAAAATTCTTATCTGAACTTTCATTAGAATTAACGCTGGAATCAACATACTCTTCACTTGAATCAAGGTTAACATAATTTGTAAGCACAGAACAAGCTACCTCAGCTCTTTCTTTCTGTAGTTTTTTAATGTTTGCAAGTTTGGGCATTGTAATAAGAGAAAATCAATAGAGTTTCACAAATTTATTTTTTTTGTTCAGTTTCTCATTTTTACATTGCACTTTTATTGTATCAGAGTGCATGGGAAAAAAACTGATAATCTAAAGTCTATGGTGAGTAACAATTACTATGAAACAGAACTGGAATCAATATTTCATATTTATTATTCAAAATCAACTGGTATATGGAATGAAAGATCAAACTTTCTCTTACAATTGCTTGCCTATTTTATATAGGACCAATTCACTTGATTTACTTGAAGATGTGAAAATTATGATTTTCAAATGTATTAAGTTACGCCTTTACCTTCCGTGTAACATCATATGGACAAAAAAACACTAGTACATATGCATATACATACATATATGCTGGTTTCTTTAACCTCACACAATATAAGATATGTAAGTATGTACATACATGTGTACTAGTATGTTTGCTTGATTTTTCTTTTTGAATAAGAGGCTAACCTTTATTATATTTCCTTTATATATCTCTGTTGTTGTTATCAAACTTAATTTAACTTCATCACTGTATCATTATTTTTATAACGCATATAATTATAATCATTAATAAATGTATTGTTGGTCGATTGATTATAAGTGTATCATTTATGCTATAAGAGATCCCATGATAGTAATTCATATGTATAATCATTGCACACTTTATTTTGCATAGTTTCTTCTATGTACTGTAACAAATATCTTGCATATTTTTTTATGCACTAGAATTGTGTTATGAAAGGTAATACATATGTTTAATTTGGTTAATATATACTATTTATCATTATGATTTATTTTAACATTAGCCAATAAAATTTTATGCATGTAATCATGAATCGATTTGATTGGCCAATTTAGGTTGTGCCAAATTTCTGCTTTACTATAAAAGTTAGCAAACTTTAATCCGTTATAATTTTTTTAAAACATGAAATTTTAAAAATCTGTTTTACAGATTTATAGTTTAGATTATACTTTATAAATTTGTAAAAGGATTTTTTAATATAACAATTTGTTATTAAGTTATTAAGCTTTAAATAAACTCAAATAAAGTGGATATTTCTTACTGTCCGGTACTGTACTTATAATTAATAACAAACAAACTAACTATATTCTTATCATATACAACAACCACTCTCTTAACCTTCATTTACTAAACAAACTATTCAAATTTCTTGGATGTTGGTTTATATTTAATAACAAACAAGCCAAACAAACCAAACTTATCACTGCAGAATCATTAAACCTTGTTAAAATTGCAAGTGCCAAACAAATTACTGATACATATGTACATTATATTATCAATACTGTCATTATTCTCACAATTGAATATCAATTATATAATATTGTTCTTAATCAATATACATATAACAAATGATTACAAATTACATAGAACTTGTTAAAAGTAAAGCCAAACTTAGTTACACAATTCCCACCACCACATTACTTTACTCTCAGCTATATAATATTTGTAATATATAGAATATTCAACTACAACATCATATTACAAACTTTACCAAGAGATTAATTCTTCTGATCTATTAGGAATAAGTACTTGTATTAGGCTTCAGCAACTTCAGAACAATTTGTTATCATCTACTAGTATTCTAATATATGATAATTCTATTATTGATAGGCCTAACAAATATACTATTAATTTTAAAATTATTCAACTTTTTAACCATCTTGGTATTATATTTTCATCTAATCTATTATATAATATTCCATATACTATTCAAGAAGGATCCATTTTACTTGAATTATTATTTTTATCATTTTTAAAATACCCAACCTTCAAAAAACAACTTAGATATTATTGTATTCTTTACTTAGACCAACTAACTACCTTTGATAACTTATGTCATTTAAACTGAAAACATATATCTACACAGATTAACAAAATTTTTAAAGGCAAACAACCACTTTGGTTTAATTATTTAAAAGATCATATTACAAGTTATTCATAAAATCACATTCTCTACCAACATTTATATTTATCTAATACAAACTATTATAGTTATTCAATTGAATACTTTTATCTAAGAAAAAAACCATAGCTTATTACAGTCCCTATGAAAAAATATATACAAAAATAATAAAGAAAATTACAAATAATATACAGAATATAATATATATATACTGAA